GGGTTTGGGGTGCGAGCACCTATACGGTCCCATTCCTGATTCCGCAGCGTCAAAGTCAAAGAGCATCGCGCCTAGACTCCACGCGTCCATACACGAAATCCTGAACTGCGACATCGAGCCCTAAACCCAATCAACTCGAGTTAATCCGGAGTGTCCTTCTCCTCCACAGTGATCTTGCCAGCCTCAGAAGTCGTAGACAATCAATGAGCACGCAGCTGAATTGTCTAGCAGCTTTGTGTTTATGGATTGCAGGTTCCAGAATGCAGGGATAACGGGCTTGTTGGCTACCAACGACCTTACGAAGGTAGTGCATGCACAGGGGCTGTCCATAAAGGCTTCTAGGCCTTAACGCGAGCTGGAGTAATTGAAGCCCGAAACCCTAAACCCTAAGACCTGAACCCTGAACCCTAAGACCTGAACCCTGAACCCTAAGCGCTCCTAAGCCCTAAACCCTGAAACGCCTATGGGGCGGCTCAAGTAATAGCTCTGGCATCGGAACTTTCAAGTACCCATGAAACTGAAATTTCAGGACTAATGACAGGTTCGGCCCCATCTTAGACAACTCTTGCAGGTTTCGGGTTTGGAGTTTAGGCTCTTGCAATGCGTCTGGCTGTGGCTAGTCTACCTCGCAACTTCTTCACTGTTTTCGACATAGCCTCAGACAATGAACCAGGAGCATCACGATCCATTCCTTCTGCCCTTGCCACCGGGACATTAGCTGCTCAGGTTCCGAAGATCAACTAAACCCTAGAAACCCCTGAATCTCTAACCCCTAAACCCTAGACGCACAAACCCTCAGACACGAAATGCTAACCGCCTCACCGCAATCCCTGGTTCGGAGCTAATGCATATTGCGCAGGAGCCATGAGAAACAGCTGAAACGATCATTACTCGTCACACCTTGCGCCTTTTGAACATGCAACCTCGCTGACCCAGCTTAGAACCAGATTGATAGCCCCTCCCACACAAGACTACAACTTCATCACGCCCAAACGAAACTTTACGACAGGGACCTCCCAGCAGGACACCCGTGTGGAAGAAGTGTATGAATCCCAAACCCCAACCCCTTGAATTTAGGGCTTAGGGTTAAACCGCAGACCCCATACTCGAACCCTGGTGGGAGCATGTCTGGGCTCCAAGCACGCACCAGGATATTCATGGTCATCATGCTCACCTGAGAGGTTCAACAGGCAAGGGTTTAGGGTTGATTGAGGGTAGTATGGTGGCCGAAGCAGCTGAGGATATTTTTGTGTCAAAATACTGTAAGTAAACCGAAGAGACAGCACCTTATTCTGTATTCTGAACTACAGCATCACGATGTACAGTACCAGTACCACTTAGATGTGGGGGTTGTTCTAAAGTTCCTTGTAAAGAAGGGACCATTGGGAATACACTTCCTTAAAAGGAGGTCCTAACCAAACAGGGAACCTAGATTATGGCCCTAAACCCTAAACCAACCACCTGTACTTTACACTGCCATTGTTCTGCGAGCGCTTGTATAGTTCACAGCGCCTCCGAGCCCCGATGCTTGGTTGAGATCGTAACATTGGCTTTAGGGTTTAGGGTTTAGGGAACTCCACCCAGCATGGGCTTACTATCCTAACGAAATTCGAACCATGAGAGTCAAAGTACACAGAGCATTAGGGCGTTGATTGCCACACGGTTGCCGGTAGTTTCTTTGAATAGGGAGACCCCAATGTAGACACCAAAATATTTTAATCCGTATTAATTCTGGGAACCCCCTGCTTTGAAACCCAAGTACACGTTGGGATGCTCAGAGCCTTGGGCTTGGGAGGAACAAGGCTCAGATTAAATCCCCCCCCCTAAGCTGGAATGTCATACAGCCTCTCTTTTGTCCGGGCAGTACGGTCCCTGTAGTTCCCGTTTTGAGGTTCCAGGTTAGGTTCAGGGAAGGGATAAAGATGGAGAAGCTCGTGAGCTGGGCTGCTGTCTTTATTTGTGTACTATGAAATGTTATACTAGGTTGCTGTTAAAGAACTTAAATTAAGTTACTATAATGGGGAAACCCTGTTGTTTACTATGCATACCCACTATGGTAACTTAAATTCAGCTCCTTAACAGCAAACCAGTATAGAGTTCGAGTCTTATTGAGCTTTAGCGTAAAAATTCGAGGAAACTGCACCGAGGAATGACCTAGCGGGGTGCGGAGTATAAAGCAAAACGCGGACAACGGTAGAATGACAAGTGCGGATGAACTGCGGGTTCTCATATCCGGAGCACCCACATCTTGCCCGTAGCTCTTAGGGGTCAGGTCATACTGAGAAGTATTCAGAAGCCGCGAACTTGCAGCTCATCAGCATTCACCTGTTTTGAGGCGATAGAAGCCTAAGTACTCGGCTTTTGAGGTTCCCTGTAGCTCAAACGAGGGCAATGGTCCCTACTTGGACCGGAGGGTCACGGGGACTTAGTAAATAGTTAATAACGCCTTTAACCCATATAGTGACCCTAAATATCCCTATAAGCCTACTTACTAAGTCCCCTGACCCTAAACCCTGAGCCCTAAACCCTAAACCCTAAGCCCTAAGCCCTAAACCCTGAACCCTAATGACTAAGTCCCACTGACCCTCCAAGCACTGCGACACGTAAGGGTAGCATTGGTTGCAATGCGGAAGCAGGAAATAAGGTCGCCTGGCCAAAGGTCCGTAAATCCTAAACCCTATATGAGCTATAGTCTAAACTCCTAGCATCCCCCTTAATAACCCCTATAGTAGTCCCCTATAGAATCCCCTATATACCTTCCTTTAAGGAGTTTGGACTATCGTACATGTGCTCCGAAAAGAGATTTCCCAAGTTCTGACACCCTGAACTCAGGCTGAGCAATCTATTGTATAGGATTTATAGGGTGTATAAGGTTTGTAGGGCCCCAACCCACACGAAGATGTCAATCCCTGCGGATTCCTCCTCACAATTGCTTTTAACCCTTCAAGACCTTCATCATCCCAATGTGAACTTCTCAGCCCCATATGATGCCTATCTGAACGTAGACACTCCCCTGCTGCCCTGCTTATCTAGCCCATGTGAGCTACAGTCTAAACTCCAAGTATCCCTCAATATCGCCCATAGTACACCCCTATATAATCCCTTACACAACCCCCCTTTAAGGAGTTTACATCATGGTCCATATACACTTCCTTACCCTACCCAGATGTAAAGATAACACAGTCGAGGTGCCACTGTGAGCTTGTCTGAGTCCAGAAGTCCTCGGCGCGTGTAGTTCCACACGAAGAAGGTGATGATGTTGCAGAGCCTTAGCAAGATCTCCCAACTGGGCTTGGTACCTGCTACTCTGGCGTCCTCCTCACTGTTTTGAAGCATGAATGATTCTTGGTTTAGGTTTATTTTCTATAATACACCGTTGGGAGTGAGGTCGCTATTATCCACCTGGTGTCTGCGACTTTACTTTAGAAGCCTGAATACAAAGACCCTTCATGTACCCTTAAATAAGGATATATGGAGGGTCTCGGAAGTTACCAATACCATTTTTGAGCTCTACTTGTCGTACCGTATACAATATCTATACAAAACAAAATTGGGACCATGATATTGATGATGACCCCTATGAAGCCCCTGTTTGAGCCAGTATCCATGTCATAGTCCATTTCCTTTTCCTTTGGATGTTCCGTTGTTACTAGAGTAGAGAACAAATCAAGCCCTCAAGCCCTAAACCCTAAAACCCGACAGCCTAAAGCAATTATTGCATTAGATTCCCAGAAGGCTGGTGCAACCAGCAAGGATCTTCCCTGGTCGAGCACAGCTACCTAAACCCCAATAGTAGGTAGAATAATGGCCCAAACACCCTTTAAAAACAGCCCAAAAGGTCGGTATTCTATCTACCTTTGGGGTTCAGGCAATACAGCCTCACAAGCCTAATGAGCGGAGTTTTAGGGCTTCGCATTTTGGGTTCCGGATTTGCATGTAGGGTACATGTAGGGTCCAGGGTTTGCAGGCTTTCCTAATTTCCAAATCCCAAGCCCTCAGCCCTAAACCTAAACCCTACACCCCTAAACCCCAGAACCCTAAACTCTAAACCTTGAATCCCTTAAAATCAAGCCCTAAACCCTAATGTTGGCTCCCGATTAGTGTGGGGGTGCTCAATTGTGCGAAGCTTCGCCGAAATTATTCAGCACCCCCTAGCTTCGTTTGGGGNNTCGTTTGGGGGTGCTCAATTGTGCGAAGTTGCGCGGGCAAAAAAAAAATTCTGAGAATCATAAGTAGAATAAATAAACCTAATTTGCTTTGAAAGCTATGGCAGGCAGGAAGTATTTAGTTAAGGGTCCTAATCCAAGATGCCCTTTGTTACTTAGACTAGAACCCCGTGTCCAGAGCTTCCAGAACCTCAAACCTCCGGATTTTGAGGGCCTCAAAACTATCAATTTCTTATGAGACCGCTTATCCAAGGAGGCCTACCAATCATTTTTCCTAAGGGGTAGGTAGCGCAGCAGATGACCGGATCCTCAATAATACGAATGTTTTGGGGGTCCTCAATTATCCGTCAAATACGGGACCCGCTAAAACAGCAGAATCCTAAAACTTTGTATTTAATTTTAAAGGCTCAGCATTTAAAAGCCAAGCTTCCAGGATCTCGAATTTCTGAATTTCAGATCTAAGATCTCCGGACTTGAAAAGTTCAAGCCAGGCCTAAAACTATAGATTTCTTATGAGTCCGCT